TGGACTATAATGGACATCCGATAAATGTCCATTTTATGTCCATGGATATGCGAAGGTGATTTGGACTTAAAATGGAGGTTCTTGGGATGTCCAGTGGTATCCGAGGTAGAGACTAGATATAATAAGAAGAATCTTAGAGAATTCTTAGAGGAACATTCAACAAGAATCTTTTTCATTTAAAGATCTTTTTCATTTAATAACACAAGTCAACACAAAATTGTTTTGAATTTGATGATTTGATTGAAAATCAATTATTCTTTCTTGGAGTTCTGAATCATTCTTTCAGTGAGTAGATAAAAGATAGAACGACACCTGTGTGACAAATAGAAAACAGTGCTTTCAAAACATCCAATTTGAAGAATCTAAGAAGAATCTGACATGAGTGATATCCATTTTTAAATGTGACACTCATTCAAAGTTTTATCCTCGATTTATCTCGTCATGAATATAAGAAAAAAAAAGAAAAGAAATTTAACAGAGAATAATTAATTTAATAGAAAATAATTAAATAATTTTTTGTTCAAATAATTATCTGTTAATTTTCTGTTAATTGTTTTTTATTAAATTTAACAAAAAATTTAACAGAACAGATCTGAAGTTAGGAATCTTATCACAGTCAGTCACTACCAATCGCGAATCTGGATACGAAAACCATTTTACAGCGTTTACGCGTGCGATTGGTTCGCTCTTCCGTGTATTTTTACGCGCGAATCCATCTGGACAAGCAAGTAATATCCTTTTCTTTTCGCGATCGGGATTTTTGCGGGACGAAGTTAGCCACAATTAGCGTATGGTCGTTGACAATCGTTGCCACGCCGGTCGATCTTCGATTGCATCGAATAAACGTCGCTGTAACCGGTACTCCGGACTCCATGAACTCTCGGTAATCGCGTCGTTTGATTTGAACGATTCGCGCGATTGGGGGTGTGAAGACGTGAAGTTAGCAGGAGTTCATAGCGTCGCGTCGTTGCACAAATTGTGCGTCACTTCGCCGTGTTCCCCGGCTAGCGAAGCAGCAGACGGTCGTTTGTGAACATTTGCTAATGGATACGCGATATCGTTCGATACGTGACGTGTTCGCGGTATTTCGTCCCGTTGAAGCCTAAACTGACTTGAGCTCGACGGTATCGAATCGACGACCGATTACTTTGACAGTATCAGGTAGGGAAACGCGTGACGGCGCGACTTTCGCCTAACCTATATGGTATTCCTGGGAACGATGTTGATGTCTGCTCGTCTATGATATTATCTCTTTATTTATCTATGATATTATCTCTTCTTGCTTATTTCGAAGTTTATCCTCTACTATATTCAAGGCACTGCTCGTTAAATATATTTTCAAGAATTCATACACTGTATCATGTTCATGTTCTTTTTGACAAAGAATATAATAAATATGACGGGAATGTATTAAAAATAATATTTATCTTACGTGTAATTAATCACATTGTTAAATTTCTAGACGATATAAATAAGTATCTTATAAAGTTGCGAATATTTTATTATTAAAGTTTATCATGCATTTCTAGATATCCTCAATGGAAGAACCAAAAGTTATAATGGATTCAAACGACGATCCCATAAATGATCCAGTATCTTCGGAGGATATTAGTATTGTATTTCAAGAAACTGTGAGCAACTCGGAGAATAAAAAAAATAGTACTGAAAGCTGTATTAAAAAAGTTATAGAAAATAAGGAGTCTGAACTATCACAGTATGATAAAGAAATTTTAGAAGTGCTTGATGAAACAAAAAAACTAATTAAAGAAACTACAATAGCCTATGAGAAAGACTCGTTTATATCAACTATAGAAGCGAATGATTCTAATACGTGTTTAGAAACTGCTGAAGAATATAATACAGAAATTGAAGCAACAATTGAAGTAGCATCTGAAAATAGCAGTGAGACTGTAATCGAAGAGATTAACACAATCGAAACAACTGAAGAAAATAATACAGTTGAAACATTCGAAGAAAATGATGAAATCGAAATAACCAAAGAGAATAACGCAGACGAAACAACTGAAGAGAATAACGCAATCGAAACAACCGAGGAGAATAACATAATTGAAACAACCAAAAAGAGTGATACAGTTGAAACAACTGAAGAGAATAACGCAGTCGAAACAATTGAAGAAAGTAACGTAGTTGAAACAATCGGAAAGACTAATGCTTTTAAAACAGTCGGAGAGATCAATGCAGTTGAAACAATCGGAGAGAATAACACAGTCGAAACAACTGAAGAGAATACTGCAGTTGAAAGTTCGTTTTCCTGCAAAGAAAACGAATCGATTCATGTAGCTGCGGAAATGACAGAACTAGATATGTCTAATTTAACCGACATATGTGACCCAGAGATTTCATTAGCTCTTAATGACTCTTGCAAAGTTCAAGATAATACTATAAATGACAATAGAAAATCTACTGACGATGTTGCAGATGAATCTGAAATGTCATCTAAAGAAAATACTAAAGATTGTGATATCCCAGACGAATCAAGTAATAATGCTGATGACATGCAAGTGTTACAGATTGAAGCTGCGTTAGAAAAAAAAGTGGAATCGGAATCTTCAGACAGTAATTTAGAAAATTCTGAAAAGGATGTTTCTGAGAAGAACATTGAGCCCGAAAACACAGAATTTATACAATTCCCTCATGACAAACAGGACGATTCTCAGATTGAAAGTCAGTCTATAGACGCGGAAGATCCATTTGGCGGTGACAATCTTACGTCCGAAAATGTGGAACAGGCGGAAACCGATAGTCTCGAGAACGAGCTCAGCTTTAAAAAGATATATGAGCAAGGTAATAATTTGCAAGACGCAGTAAATGCTAGAAATGACTGTAATGAGAAGCTTAGTGCTGATTCTGCGTTAAACGATCCAAAGGATGCCGATGATAATATCGATAAAGACTTGGATAATATTGCTGAAACGTCAAATAAT